AGAAATTCAATGGATCACTAATCAATATTGTATCCGTTCTAGTAAACGTCGGACGAAGGGTATTTTCCATTTTTTAGTGTGCCCATCATCGGAGTACAGTAATTTAAAAATATTTCAAGATGGATTACATACAGGTATTTTAATCTTTAGCAAGTAAATTATTTTGAAACTTTAGTAGCACACTTAGGACTAACTCTCTTTTACTATTTGTGAAATTAGTTTGGCATTGTCTGAAACTTCGAAACATCTATTAGATTTTGGCGTATTATGAAAAGCTGAATGAATTAGTATTCAAAGTAAAAGTTGTGAAATACTGTACAGTATTCGTGTACTTTCTGGCTAGGAATGCACTGTATGAAAACAATGAGATCAGATTTTTTTATTCAGAATTCCTTGAATTCTTCTCTGAAGAACCCGAAGATCTTGCCGCCGATCGCAGGATTACCGACGGAGAAGCGGAGCGCAGAAATGGCATTGTTGTCGCAAGAAGTTTTGGCCGAGATCCCTGCCCAGTTCCTGGGTTACATGGAGAGCCAGGGCATCAGGCCGAACCCACCCAAGACGGGGATCTTGAATATCCCTCAGGATCCCGAGGTACTGGTCGGAGATTTTGAGCAGTGACCTCCGTCGATGTGACGGTTAGCCTTCACGTGATGTTTTTGAGTTCGACTTCCCCTCGAGGTCAACTTGAGTTTGTTTGTATCTTTGGTCGAGAAACCTTTTAACAGGTTCTGTTTTGACGATTTCATTTTGATTCAGTCCTTTTTTACACCGTTATGCATGTTTAACAGTACAGTATTTGCATGGACTTTTGTAGTACAGTATCTCACGAAACCTGGATGTTTGCATGTTTTTACGAAGTTAAATATTTGACGAATCTGTCGATTGAAGTTGCCTTCACCTCAGATTGTATTGAGGTAAATGTTCACTCCCGCAACTGTCCTCCATGAGAATCCGATGTGTATGTGATAATTATTTGATCATTTTGTAAAATTGTAGAGTGATTGAACTATTTATATTTGACAAGAGCACAAAATATTGTGATGCAATAAGAAGTGATTTTATCAAATGCGGTTCTGATTTTTCATTCATGACGGAACCGTGTTGTTGATAGACCGAATACAAAATTTTATTTTTACGAAAATCAAGTGCAAGGGAACCAAATTTTGATCCCCTTGAAAGTTGTTCAATAGTTTCACCTGGAAACACTGAGTACTTGTACCTTGAGAAAAAAAAGTAATGGTTCTGGGGTAGCTTTGGTATAAATTCCAAACGTGTATTCATCATGATGGCATAATTTTCAAGTTCTTGGCCGTTTAATCAGATTTTGTTGTGGCCGCCGCTTAAAAAAATTTAAAGACCATTGTTTCCCAAAAATAAACGTGCTTCCCATTCATCACAACCAAACAAACAACATGTTATGAGCAAAATGCGTTGTAGAAAAATGCCTATTACTTCACAGTATTCAATAGTGCATCTCAGAATCGTGCTTCCTGTTCAAAATTGTGAACCTACTCCAAATACTGTAATTTCAAAAATTTGATCAAGTGGATTTCACTTCTTCGGAAGGCGCACGTTCGTCATCCACATCTTGTTGAAGCGTTTC